GGTAGCATTAGTATGATGACCCTCACTTGATCGTTCTTCAGAATAGGGATCGGAGAGGTGATGCTAGGGATGTGACTATTGGTGATGATGGCGTGTTGAGGATGCAGGGCCTGATATGTGTGCCTAATGTAGATGGGCTTCGAGAGTTGATTCTTGCAGAGGTCCACAGCTCGCGATATTCCATCCATCCGGGTGCCGCGAAGATGTACCAGGATTTGAGACAACACTATTGGTGGAGGCGGATGAAGAAGGATATAGTTGGGTTTGTAGCTCGGTGTCTCAAATGTCAGCAGGTTAAGTATGAGTATCAGAGACCGGGCGGCTTGCTTTAGAGATTAGACATTCCGGAGTGGAAGTGGAAGCGGATCACCTTGGACTTTGTAGTTGGGCTCCCATAGACTTCGAGGAAGTTCGATGCTATTTGGGTTATTGTAGATCGGCTGACCAAGTCCGCGCACTTCATTCTAGTTGGTACTACTTACTCTTCAGAGCGGTTGGCTGAGATTTACATCCAATAGATTGTTCGCCTGCATGGTGTCCTAGTTTCCATCATTTCAGATAGGGGCACTCAGTTTACATCGCAGTTTTGGAGGGCAGTGCAGCGAGAGTTGGGTACTCAAGTTGAGTTGAGCACAACTTTTCACCCTCAGACGGACGAGCAGTCCGAGCGCACTATTCAGATATTGGAGGGCATTTTGCACGCTTGTGTCATTGACTTTGGGGGTTCATGGGACCAGTTTCTGCCACTCATGGAGTTTGCATATAACAACAATTATCAGTCGAGTATTCAGGTGGCTCCGTACGAGGCTTTATATGAGAGGAGGTGTAGATCTTCGGTTGGATGGTTTGAGCCGGGTGAAGCTAGGCTCTTGGGTACAGACTTGGTCCAGAATGCATTAGATAAGGTGAAATTGATTCAGGAGCGACTTCGCACGGCGCAGTCTAGGCAGAAGAGTTATGCGGATAGGAAGGTCCATGATGTATCTTTCATGGTTGGGGAGAAGGTTTTGCTGAAGGTATCACCCATGGAGGGCGTTATGAGATTTGGGAAGAGGGGCAAGTTGAGACCCCGGTTCATTGGGCCTTTTGAGGTGCTTCGGAGGATTGGGGAGGTGGATTATAAGCTTGCCTCGCCACCCAGCTTGTCGAGTGTGCACCTAGTGTTTCATGTTTCCATGCTCCGGAAGTATATTGGAGATTCGTCCCATGTTTTGGACTTCAGCACGGTGCAGCTGGAGGGTGATATGACTTATGTTGTGGAGCCGGTGGCTATTTTGGGTCGGCATGTTCGAAGGTTGAGGTCAAAGGATATAGCTTCAGTGAAGGGGCAGTGGAGAGGTCAGCCTATGGAGGAGGCCACCTGGGAGACGGAGCGGGAGATGCGGAGCAGATATCCACGCCTATTCGAGACTCCAGGTATATTTCTAGACCCGTTCGAGGACGAACGGTTGTTTAAGAGGGAGAGGATGTAACGACCCGGCCGGTCGTTTCGGGAGTTATAGCCCCGTTTTCCCCATTTCTATTTCCTTTATTCTCTTAAGCTATATTATGATATACCGGGTTAGTTGGTTCGGGTCCGGATTGATTTCGGAGTGGAATGAGACACTTAGTCTCTTATTTAGAACCTTATGTTAGAAAAGTCAACCAGATGTTGACCTATGTGTAAACGATCTCGAATTTGAATTCTGATGGTTCTGTTAGCTCAGTTAGGTGATTTTGAACTTAGGAGTGCGTCCGAAATGTGATTTGGAGGTTCGTGGTAAAAAATAGGCTTGAATTGGCGAAATTGGAAATTTAGCAATTTTCGGTCGGCAGTGAAAAATTTGATATCGGGGTCAGAATGGAATTCCGGAAGTTGGAGTAGGTTCGTAGTGTCATATGTGACGTGTGTGCAAAATTTGAGGTCATTCAGACGTGGTTTGGTTGGTTTCGGCATCGGATGCCGAATTTGGAAATTTAAAAGTTCTTAGGCTTGAATCCGAGGGTAATTTGGTGTTTCGATGTTGTTTTGAGTAATTTGAAGGTTCGACTAAGTTTGTATGTTGATATATGACTTGTAGGTATTTTTTGTTGAGGTTCCGGAGGCCTCGGGTGTGTTTCGGGTGAGTTTTGAGCGAGTCTGGGCATTACTGGAACTGAGGCATGGTTTTGGTGCTTAAAATTTCGCTGAGGGCGGCAAAATTTTGCAGAGGGCGGAGGAGGGGGCGCAGACCGCGTAAATTTGGTCGCGGAGGCGCTCCAGTGCAGATCTGCAGATTCGTTGGTCCGAATTTGGAAGCCTATATCTTTTGATCTACAAGGAAGTTTGAGATGATTAAAAAACAAAAGTTGTACCCCTTCGTGTCTATTTTCCATAAAGTTAAAGAAATCATCATTTGGACATCTGTAGAGAAAGTTATGGACAAAATACTAAAGTATGTCACTACAGCCACCAGAAGCGCGGACAACACTACTTTTTCGCTACCGCAAGGGTTGGATTTTCGCGGCCGTGCCTGGATTTTTGCGGTCAGCGTAGTGGAGATTAGATAGTGCACTATATAAATGGGGTTTAGGACATTATTTCACATTTTGGACCTAGGAAGCTCGGTTTGTGGCGATTTTTTGAGGGTTTTTCAAGAAATTCATCGAGGTAAGTGATTTTAACTCGGATTTGGTTAATGTACATGAATATATCACTAATTTCATCATTTGATTAGTACTTTGAGGTGGAAAATTGGGAAAATAGTATAAACTTCATAAAATGGGTTTTGAGAGTTGAATGTCGATTCGAAGTCGGATTTTGACAAATTTGGTATGGTTGGACTCGTTAGGGAATGAGTTTCCTAGTTTTGTAAAATTTATCGGATTTCGAGACGTGGGCCATCGGGCCTAGTTTGAGCCAATTTCGGTTTTTGGGCTAATTTGATAGTTTTTCTTGTGGAATTCATTTCATTAACGTATATTGATGGTATTGTACTGATTGTGAATAGATTCGGAGCATTTGGAGGCCGCGTCGAGAGGCAAGAGTATTTCGGGGTAGAGATTTGATCGATTTGAGGTAAGTAACGATTGTAAATCTAGTCCTGAGGGTATGAACCCCCGAATTTTTGTATCATTCTACTATTTTGAGGTAATGCACATGCTAGGTGACGGGCATGTGGGCGTGCACTGTTGGGGATTATGATTTGGTATGTCTCGTAGCACTGTAAAGTTGCATGTTTTGTGGAAATTATATGATACTTATATGTTATAGAAAAAATTTCTGTAAGTTGGGCTGAATGCCATGTTTGGGCCTTGTGCTAGTGCTGTTTGGACCCTTAGGGGCCTTTTCTTACTATCCTCTCACTGTTTTCGATTAAAAATCTATACTCAGCCATGGTTATACTTGTTTACTGCATAACTCATTTTTATGACTTTATTTTGATGCATATAAATGTTGTTTTGGCCGAATGCCCTATTTTTACTGAAATGCCCAAGTGGCTTGAGAGGTTTATGAATGAGTGAGGCCGAGAGCCTGATTTGTGAGGATATTTATGGGATCGGGCTGCACGCCGCATCATGTTTGATATAGGCCGAGAGCTTGAGTGATTTATGCCATGAATTGGCTTGATATAACGCTTGGGCTAAAGGAGCTCCTCCGGAGTCTATACACACCCCCAGTGAATGCAGGTACCTACTGAGTGCAAGTGCGAGTGCGAGTGCGAGTGCCGAGTGCCGAGGGCTGAGTGACTGTGAGACATGAGTGATTGTGAGGCTTGCCCGAGGGGATGTTTATGATTTCATCATTTTTGCTCACCTTTGCATTGAGCCTTGTTTGAAAAACTGTTAAAAAATATCTTTAAATGATTTTTACTGGAACCAGGTTTAAACGAGATGATTTGATTCAAACACTGATTCTCAAATCACGATATACTTTAATGGATTTCTGTGATATGAACTTGATATGCTTTATTGCTCGTTACTACTGCTCAGTCTTTATTTATTGTTGTTACTTATTGAGTTAGCGTACTCACATTACTCCCTGCACATTGTGTGCAGATCCAGGTGTAGCTGGACACTGTAGCGGTTGTTGATTATTCTGGTTGCAGATTTTCTCGGGGATAGGAAGGTACCTGTTTGGCGACTGCAACCCCTGCTCTTCTCCCTCTTATCTTCCTTTAGTTATATTTAGCTATTTTTCAGACTATGTTAGTCTTGATATTATTAGACAAATGGTAGTAGATGCTCATGACTGGTGACACCCCAATGTCGGACTTTTCTTTTCCGCACTTTTGTTTTGATTTGTACTCCTTTACGAATGATCTTTTTAAAATTTTAAATAGCATTGAAATTATCTTTGAAATAAAAATATCGGTTTGTTTTGGAAATGAGTCGGTTTGCCTAGTTCCACGATAGACGCCATCACGACAGGGGTTAGTTTGGGCCGTGACACTTTGAATTAACTAATTAACAAGAATCAATTTAATATTTTTCATATTCATCATATAAGTAATATTATTTTCAAATTGACAACTCTTATATGATACATAAATTCGTTTCGATAAGAATAGCAAGCATATAGCAAAATTGGTTATAATAGTATTAAGAGTAAAATTCGTAAAATTACAAACTTGAAGCAATAAGGAGGAAACAATAGAATACAAACTATATTATGAACAAATTGTTATTTATTATTATTATTATTATTATTATTATTATTATTATTATTATTGTTATTGTTGTTGTTGTTGTTGTTATTTTACAAATGACAACTCCCCCTATGTTCTATATTAAATTATTTGCTGTAAAAAATATTAGTCATTTAGACTTTACATTTTTCCTTATTAATTTTTTATATGAGCATAACACCAACCTTTTCATTCCCAAAAATGATAGAGAAATTATTATTTTTTTAATCTTATTTGACAAATTTGTGTCGATAATAATATTTATATATCTTTTAGATAATCCGAAAAATGCTTATAAGCTAGTTATAAAGTTAGCCAAACAGCCTCTTACTTTTTGACATCCCTGCCGTGGCAAAATCTAATAAGATCTCTCCGCTTCCTTTCCAAGATTCCAACTCCTCGTTTTCCCTTTCTCCTTTTCTATTAAATTTATATAAGTATATAAAGTATCTTCGGTCGATGAAACCCCTCTCTTTCTGCCCAATCCGATTTTAACAGATCGGAGATTTTCAAGTGTATGTTAAGATCTTACGAAACGCTAAGACGGCTGACGGCGACGGCGCATTCGAGGAGAGCAGAGTCCAGGGAGAACTGAGAGATGACGCGATTCCAAGTGGGCGGGAAAGTGGTGGAGAGTGTGGATTTGCTGAAGAAGAGACACTGGTCTTGGCGTTTCGATGTTTGGCCCTTCTTTATTCTCTACGGCGTTTGGCTCCTAACTATAGTACCTAGTTTAGACATTGCCGATGGCTTCATAGTTCTTGGTGCCCTTGTTGCCTTTCATGTTCTCGTCTTCCTCTTCACTGTTTGGTCCGTTGATTTCAAGCGCTTTGTTCACTATTCCAAGGTATTGTTAGTATTTATTTACTTGTTACTACTTCAATTCGTGGCACACTCCTCTGTGGGACTGTGGGAATGTTTATGGTACTGAGTTAAAGTAAAATTAAGTATCTTTAAGCAAAAACAAAACTAATTATGGGGAAAAGTCTAATTTTGATCATGTTGTTGAAGTTAGAAGTGAGAAATTGGGAACAATTTTGACTATCTCCACTTTTTACTATTTTGTTTTATCGCCAGATTTGCCACGACCTTTTTCTACTACATTGGGCTTAGCGAATTAGTGCAACACTTTGGCGGGCTGAACTTGAAATAGGTGGGAATCAACTTCAGCTAGAATATTTAAAAATATTCTAGTTGATTGTTTAACAAGTATACCTATTAAGGATGAAACTTGACCTAAATACAAAATGACATTACAAGTTAAGCCTGCATAGGAGACTGAAGTATGGAACAATTTAAGCCTGCATATGTAATTACATCTATGTGTGTGGCCTAGACGTGGGGTCCACACATTACTTTGGTTTCCAACTGACGGTTCCATCTCTATGCATCACTTAAAGTGGAACTGCCTTTCTCCTCCAGCCACTTTGTATTGAAAAAAAGAGCTGAAGCTGAATTAGGGACATGCACAATTCAATAGTGCCTTTTGTTCTTATGTTTTCAGTCAGATATCTCATTGATGGTAAGAATTATGTCAAAGTAAGAGTCCGTAGTCACTCATGTGTTTGCTTAAATTTTTCTTCACTTGATTACCAACTTTTGTCAATTTTATCCTTGTGGGAGGGGGATCGGTAGCTTGTGTCTTAAGTAAAATATCTCCCCATTTATGAAATTCAGAATATGAATTTGTTACTTATGGTTATACTTATTCATGCCGTCCTACTTGTTAAGAATTCTGAAATGAGATTTGAGATGGCCTATGCAGTCCCTTCTCTATGAACAGATTTTTCTTTTTAATAGATAGTGCATTTGTTTGTTGCTTCGACACCAAATTTAGGAGCCCTATTTCGTCAATTGGAATCCTGACAGCTAGTTTTATGGTTTACATTATATGTAGTGTTAGTGATTTGTAATTGTGCTACTCAAGGGGGCCTCACAAGGTAGGGGTAAGGCCTGCGTACACACTAACCTCCCCAGACCCCACGGTGTGGGATAATACTGGGTATGATGTTGTTGTTGTTGTTTTTGCTACTCAAGGGGGCTAGACTTCTTGACTTCACCAGTTCTCTTTGTTAATTCTTTGGGTACACTAAGAGCGACAAGGATTTTGAATTTGTACTCTTGGGTGATACTGGCTGAGCTACAAGGCTTGTGGAACAGTAGTGTGCTATTTGGTTATTGCATATCATGATTCCCCAGAGATGAGTTGCAGAGAGTTCGGTGAAAATATGAACCTAATTTTATCCTTTTTTCTGGACAGGTGGATGACATACATCAAGCAGATTCTTGTAAAGTCACTCCAGCTAAGTTCTCTGGAAGTAAAGAAGTCGTGCCTCTTCACTTTCGAAAGGTGCATATGCCGTATCCTTTTTTTCCTTGTTTTTTGGAGAGGGTTTGTTAGATGTATTCTTTGTATTTTTTTCTTATTTTGGTAGCTTTATCTTGACTAATTGGACTATGACTTGCCAAGTAATGAAAAAAAGGTAGAAAGAGTTTGAACCGCCAGGCTCAAACTCTATCAGATTGTGTTTTTCTTTTGATAAAGAAGTGAACCCTATATAACATGTTAGCTTTTATCGCCTCCTTTACCTTTTGCTTTCTTTACGGCTGTGATGGTGGCGTACTCCATTTCCGACTTATGAAAGGAGATATTTTCTTTGTTGCAAGATCCTAATCAGCCTGCTCTTGTAGGGTGGTGATCCATTGAAAAATCTAGTATTCTCAAGCTCTGTACTGCTTCAAAGTTTTGAAGCTTCAAACTGTTTTTCCTGTTCTCAGTCAAAGAGGAAAAAGAAAAAAGAAAGACTCTTTATTTTATCTCCTCATTGTGTCAAACTGTTCCTCTGTGTATGCAGTTGGCTGGTTCCTCGTCCTCTGAGGATCTGGAGGAGATTTATTTTGATTTTAGGAAGCAACGGTACATCTATTCAAAGGAGAAAGGAACTTTCAGCAAACTTTCGTATCCTTCAAAAGAGACATTTGGATACTACCTTAAGAATACTGGCCATGGAACTGAAGCTAAAATTGTTGCTGCAACTGAGAAGTGGGGCCGGAACGTGTGAGTTTTCCCTCTTTTCTATGCCATTCCCCTGGCAGACCGTATGCTATCCTTTCTCGAGCATTCTTCACATATATCATTTATAGTATTTACAACAGCATTATGTGGTTCTCCTGCAATGCCCCTCTGGCTCCCCCCCCCCCCCCCNCCCCTCTTCCCCCGGCGCGCGTGCGAAGGAAAAAAAATATAAGGCAGGGAAAGAAAGAGGAAATACAGTGAAATAAAACATTAAAGAAACAGAGAACCCAGTTCTTCTAAAGCTTACAGAAAAACCATTATCCTCTCTGATTTGAAGTCTCTTTAACTGCTATTCATTATGTGGATGGTCCTACTCCAGGTCTTGCTTTAACCTGTGCTGCCATCTGCATAGGTCGATAATGGGTGCTGGTCATATTTTATGATGTTTGAACAATAAGTTTTACTTAGAATGGAAATCTTGCTTTTGTATTCTAATCTTATATTTGTTTGTTGAAATGTAAATATAAGAGTTTTTTCATAATTTATAGAAAAGAAATGCCTGATGCTGTAAATTTTATTTGGAGTCCTACACTAAGGCAGTAGACTCACAAACTCTTCAATACTGTCAGACCTCTCTATAACAGCCTCGCTTGTTCCAAATTTTTTTGGTTGTTATAGCGAAATGATGTTATAAAGAACATATATTATAACATAGCATGCAAATTGGTTCCAAAAGAAACTTGGCTTTTAGAGTGAATTGTTGTTATATAGCGATGCTGTTATAGAGAGGTCTGATTGTACTACAAATTGTAATAACTTTTTGGACAGAATTAAAAAATTATTTTAATTCTAATTGATCGCTTATCTTGTTTCCCTTCTTTTATTAGGTAAATGTAATCAAATTAATATTGTTCTTTATTTAGTTACCATTGCCAACTTGTTGATTTCTAATGCAAGTTCGATGAACTAATTGTGCTTTGCTTTCCTGACCTCGTAGGTTCGAATATCCTCAGCCAACATTTCAGAAATTAATGAAAGAGCAGGTCATGGAGCCTTTCTTTGTATTCCAGGTTTGTTCTGATTGAAATCATTTATCAGTTGATTGGTTTCCTACTGCAGTCACTGCCCTATGGTGTATTCTGCTTTCAATATGTTCTAATAGTGCTCATTACATGCCAGGTCTTTTGTGTGGGTTTATGGTGCTTAGATGAATACTGGTATTACAGTTTGTTCACTCTCTTTATGCTGTTTATGTTTGAGTCAACAATGGCTAAGAGCCGGTTGAAGACCCTGTCTGAATTAAGACGCGTAAGAGTTGACACCCAGACCTTGATGGTGTATCGCTGTGGAAAGTATGTCAACACAAGGATTGCTCCCTATAGTATATTGTTTTTCACATTTACTGCAATTCTTAAATCAATAGGTATGCATGTTCTTTGTCTGAGTGTTAAGAGATGTTCATGGTAGGTGGGTGAAACTCTCTGGCACTGAATTGTTACCTGGAGATGTTGTGTCTATCGGGCGTTCTGTTGGTCAAAATGGAGAAGACAAGTCCGTACCTGCTGACATGCTTTTGCTAGCTGGAACTGCTATTGTGAATGAAGCTATTTTGACAGGCGAATCTACTCCACAGTGGAAGGTAATCTTCCTGTTCTGTTCTCTGTTTGCTGTTTTTTTATCTACAAGTAAATAAAGCTGCGCTGGATCTATTTCTTTTTCTTAGACAAGATGCTGTTACTGTTATTGGTGACAAACTGCTCTTGCAGACGACATTCATCAATTTTCTCATATTTACTTTTCAAAGGATCAAAAGGGCATCTTTAGTAAAATTTTGTATTTCTTGTGTCATTGTTAAGGGACATTGACATTTCAATCAGATTTGGGTGTGATAATCATTCTTTGGATAAGTTGATTGTGAGGGACAATGCCACCTTTATACCCGTTTTCCCAGTCTATTGGGAAAATGACTTGTAGATTTCGGCTGAACTTGCTTTGCCTCCACGTTTGCACATTTTCAGCTTCCATTGTCTAATTGATGTAGCGATCCTTCTCTCAGAGTTCAATGCTTTTCGTGTCAGCTAGAAATCGACGCTAGGACCGCCCCTAGTGCTTAGTTCAAGTGGCAACAGTTTGAGGGACTTGTGACATGGGTCACATGTTTGAGCCCTATGCAATGCGACCTAAGCCTGGGTATTTAACTGTAGAAGGGTAGAAGCCGGGGCCAATTATCCCCGAGTTCGGAGGCTGCGGTTGGTCCTAAGGGTTGGCCTCAGACGCATTTCTCGGTCACAAAAAAGGAGGAGGAATTGATGCTAGGAGCAGCTATTGCTGCACAGGGCCCTTTTCAAATTATGAGCTTTCAGTTATTGAATTTAAGGGGGTGGGGATGGCAGAATGATTGGTGTCTTAGTTCGTCAAGCAACATGCGGCACTCATGCTTCTAAGCCTTTCTTATATGCTGGGTGTATAACTTTTAGTTGTAATTGTTCCCTCTTTATTCGTACAGGTTTCAATCATGGCTAGAGGAACAGGGGAGACATTGTCTGCTAGGCGAGATAAAGCCCACGTACTTTTCGGTGGAACCAAAATTTTGCAGCATACGGCCGATAAGGTTGTCAATGGTCGATAACTCTTTTTTCGTAATGTTTAGTTGCTTCTAGAATTAATCTATTTATTATATCCTTTTCCTTTTTTGTCTTCCTTTGGTCGTCATCATGAGTAGACCTATCCAATGAAGACCCCTGATGGTGGATGCTTGGCTGTTGTTCTACGAACTGGGTTTGAAACAAGTCAAGGCAAACTTATGCGGACTATTTTATTTTCAACGGAGAGGGTAAATGCTGTTCTACAATCTGCTTCCCAGGATTAGCAATATTTTTTGGTGTTTTCTACAAGATGGTGCTGTCACTGGATTTTCAAAGTACCATGATATCTATATTACTTTTTTGTAGGTTACTGCTAACAGCTGGGAAAGTGGGCTTTTTATTCTTTTCTTAGTCGTATTTGCATTAATAGCAGCCGGCTATGTTCTTAAAAAGGTACTGTCTTGATTCTGTGTTTCCTCATTTATCTGTCTCTTTGAAATCACTGTGGAAAGTAACTCAATGGTCTGCAATAACTGACCATGCTTCTAGAGTGGAACGAAATTGTGTTGTGGAATTCTAATTTATTTTCCTTCTTCTTTTTGGCATGTGCTCTCTTACAGGGGCTCGAGGACCCAACAAGAAGTAAATACAAACTGTTTCTGAGTTGTTCATTGATAATTACTTCTGTTATCCCTCCCGAGCTGCCAATGGAGTTATCAATAGCTGTTAATACATCTTTAATTGCTCTAGCACGACGAGGGATATTCTGTACAGAACCTTTTCGGATTCCATTTGCTGGGAAGGTGAGTTTTGCTGTCTAACGGTATTCATAGTTGATAGTTTTTCTCTGTTTGAAATTCTTAACCTTTTGGGCAGGGAGTAATTTGAGGGTCTTATCGGGTTGCACGCTTTCTCTCCTCTATTTTTTTCTTCATGTTTTGGGCAGGAGTTGGTGGTTCTGTGTTTCATCAACATAATGCAAATCCAGAGAAACACCTGCTTTTAGATTGTACTCTGTGAGAAAGCAGGAGAGAAAATATGTTATTGATATTGGATGATAAATACAATACAAGAGGTCCCTATTTATAACTATACACTACAAGGAGATATTACTCCTCTTCCAATGCGGGACAAGACTACACTATACATATCTGTAAACTAACACTCCCCTTCAAGCCGGTGCATACACATCATATGTACCGACCTTGTTACACATGTAGCTAATACGAGAACCAGTAAGAGACTTAGTGAAAATATCTGCTAGTTGATCATTCGACTTTACAAACTTTGTAACAATATCTCCTGAAAGTATTTTTTCTCTGACAAAGTGACAGTCGATCTCAATGTGTTTAGTCCTCTCATGGAACGCCGGATTTGACGCAATATGAAGAGCAGCTTGGTCATCACACACTAGTTCCATCTTGCTGATTTCTCTGAACTTTAACTCCTTGAGCAACTGCTTGACCCAAACTAACTCACACGTCGCCATAGCCATGACCCGATATTCGGCTTCGGCGCTAGATCGAGCAACTACATTCTGTTTCTTGCTCTTCTACGAGACCAAGTTACCTCCTACTAGAACACAATATTCAGACGTAGAACGTCTATCAAAAGGTGATCCTGCCCAATCAACATCTGTGTACCCGACAATCTGCTCGTGGCCTCGATCCTCGAATAGTTATCTTTTGCCTGGAGCTGACTTTATATACCGAAAAATGCGAACAACTGCATCCCAGTGACTATCACAGGGAGAATCCATAAACTGACTTACAACACTCACCGGAAAAGAAATGTCAGGTCTAGTCACTGTGAGGTAATTCAATTTGCCAACCAACCTCCTATATCTCGTAGGGTCTCTAAGAGGCTCCCCCTGTCGAGGCAGAAACTTAGCATTCGGATCCATAGGAGAGTCAATAGGTCTGCAACCCATCATTCCAGTCTCCTTAAGAATGTCTAAGGCATACTTCTGCTGTGAAATAACAATGCCTGAGCTAGACTGAGCGGCCTCAATACCTAAAAAATACTTCAATCTGCCCAGATCCTTAGTCTGGAAGTACTGAAAGAGATGTTGCTTCAGATTATTAATACCATCTTGATCATTGCCAATAATAACAATATTATTAACATAAACCACTAGATAAATACACAGATTAGGAGCAGAATGCCGATAAAACACAGAGTGATCAGCCTCACTACGAGTCATGCCGAACTCCTGAATAATTGTGCTGAACTTACCAAACCAAGCTCGAGGGGACTGTTTCAAACCATATAGTGACCTGCGCAATCTGCACACACAACCATTAAACTCCCCATGAGCAACAAAACCAGTTGGTTGCTCCATATAAACTTCTTCCTCAAGATTACCGTGGAGAAAAGTATTCTTAATGTCTAACTGATAAAGAGGCCAATGACGTACAACAACCATGGACAAAAAGAGACGAACAGATGCTACTTTAGCCACGGGAGAGAAAGTATCACTATAATCAAGCCCAAAAATCTGAGTATATCCTTTTATAACAAGACGAGCCTTAAGCCGATCAACCTGACCATCCGGGCCGACTTTGACTGCATAAACCCAACAACAACCAACAATAGACTTACCTGCAGGAAGAGGAACAAGCTCCCAAGTGCCATTCGCATGTAAAGCAGACATCTCGTCAATCATAGCATGTCGCCATCCTGGATGAGATAATACCTCACCTGTAGACTTAGGGATAGAAACAGTGGACAAAAAAGATATAAAAGCATAATGAGGTGACGACAGACGATGATAACTTAAACTGACATAGTGGGGATTAGGATTAAGTTATCGTACACCTTTGCGGAGTGCAATTGGTTGACTAAGAGGAGACAAGTCCGCAGTAGGTGCAGAATCTGATGCGGTGGACGACAATGATAAGTCAAAAGTGGTGGAGCTGCAGAAGGTTGAACTGGATTATGTGGAGGAACTGGAGCTATAGGTGGTGGAGCTGGAGTGACTGAATCTCCAAAAGATGAAACTGGTAGTACCTAAGAAATATCTAAGTGATGACCTGAACCTGTGAAGTATTATTGGGTTTCAAAGAAGGTAACATCAACGGACATAAGGTACCGCTGGAGGTCAGGAGAGTAGCATCGATACCCCTTTTGTGTTCTCGAGAAACCCAGAAATACGCACTTAAGAGCACGAGGAGCTAACTTATCTGTTCCTGGAGTAAGGTTATGGACAAAACAAGTGCTTCCAAAGATACGGGGTGGAAGAGAGAACAAAGGTAAGTGGGGAAANGGTGGAAGAGAGAACAAAGGTAACTGGGGAAATATGACAGAGAATGGAACTTGGTTCTGGATAGCTGAAGATGACATACAATTAATAAGATAGCAAGATGTAAGAACTGCAGCTCTCCAAAAACGCAACGGAGCATGAGATCGTATGAGTAGGGTACGAGCAGTTTCAATAAGATGTCTATTCTTTCTTTCAGCTACCCCATTTTGTTGAGATGTATACAGACAAGATGTTTGATGAATAATCCCATGAGATTTCATAAACTGCTGAAATAGGGAAGACAAATACTCTCGGGCATTATCACTACGGAATGTGCGAATAGAATCCCCAAATTGATTTTGAATTTCAGCGTGGAAGGTCTAGAAAATAGAAAACAGCTCAGATCGATTTTTTATCAAAAATATCCAAGTGCATCTGGAATAATCATCAATGAAACTGACAAAGTAGCGGAATCCCAAGGTGGAACTGACCCGACTAGGACCCCAAACATCTGAATGGACTAAAGTAAAAGGTGACTCTGCTAGATTATCAAGATGCTGAGGGAAATGGGAGCGAGTATGCTTACCGAGTTGACATGACTCACACTCTAGAGCTGGCAAGTGAGATAAACCAGATACCATTTTCTGAAGTTTTGACAACACCGACGCTGGAAACACCGTAGCTCGTCGGAATCTACCGTAGCTGACGGAAAAATTCAAAGTGGTCGAAATGAAACAAAACCAGTGAGGGTAGGATCAGAATTACCAGGCGATCCTACTGTTCGGAACTTTTTCAAAATCTGGCCAGAACAGTGCTCACGCGCCGGCGCATGGGTCAGATCTCGCCAGAAAATTTTTTCTTTTCCAAGCGCGTGAGGGCGTGTGGACGTGTGTTTTCTGGTGGGGTTGATTGGAGTTTGGTCGCCGGAGCCTGAAGAGTCTTGTGGTGGTGTTGGTTTTTGCACAACACCAACAGAAAGTGATTTGCTTACGGACAACCTTCTAAGTCGCCGGAAAATTACATGGCGAAGAGGTCTGTTTTCCCGGAAGTAGCTGGAATGATGCACAACGACGGGTTTCTCACTAATGCTCTGATACCATGTGAGAAAGCACGGGAGAAAATATGTTATTGATATTGGATGATAAATACAATACAAGAGGTCCCTATTTATAGCTATACACTACAAGGAGATATTACTCCTCTTCCAATGTGGGACAAGACTACACTATACATATCTGTAAACTAACATACTCATTTGACTTGCTTAGGGGGTACTGCAAGACCAACCTTTACAAGAGAAAAATTAAGGGTGGATTTTTTGCCTGGTCATAAAAAAGATACAGCAACAACAAACCCAGTGCAATCCCACATGTGGGGTCTGGGGAAGGTAATGTGTACGCAGACCTTACCCCTACCTTATGAAGGAAGAGAGGCTAAAGAAATAAATAAAAGTTAAGGATGGGTTCTAAGGTCCCTAGTGGGTTGGATAATATCATGACCTGTGTTATTAAAAGACATCACTTCATTGGTAAAGCCATGCGCTTCAACTAGTGACGCATAAAGTGATTCCAATGAGAAATGGTTTGATTCTTTGAATCTCAACTTTGAGTGGTTGGATTAGTATCGACATTATTGCATATTGGATGTTCAAATAATTATTCTAATTGAACTTGATTATTAAAATACTAAATATGTGTATATATATGTGTGTGTGTGCGCGCGCGCGCGCGCATGCGAATTGGTACTTTTAATTTTCCGCCTCATTGAGAAGAAACGTGCTGTTCACTTCTTGCTTTTTCCTTCAAGCCCCATGGATTTTGTTTTTCTTTTTTTTCCGCTTTTCTCTTCTAAAAACACCGATCATGACAACATTCCGGCGTGTAAAGAAAATAGACCTTAGGCATAATTCCAAAATCTTGCTCATGAGGTGAGGATTACCTAAGACCATAAAAAATAAGAGCCAACCTATCCCCTCAGCTAATGTGAGACATTCTAACACCTCTGGAGCATGGATACCAAGAACAGTGGTGAATCTGGCGCTATTTTTGGTTTAACCAATGTTGGGCATGCTATATTGTCCAAGCTCCAGATTTCCAACTCTAGGCGTGGAGGGGAGTGTTAGAATGTCCCACATTAGTTGAAGGAATATGGACTATTGTCTTCTTATATGGTCTTGGGCAGTTCTCACCTATGAACTAGCTCTTGCAGTTAACTTAGGTCGAAGGTTCATTTCCACTCACATGGTATCAGAGCCAAATGTGGTAAGCCCATATTTCATAACTGTTTTCTCTCTACATGCTATATTGCTTTTGGCTTCTCTCTATCAACTTACATGGTCAAGCGCTCTGGGCTTCTCTCATCTTTCTCAATTCGTCCCATCGAGCCACTAATTTTGCTCCAGGTCCTCTTCTTAGCTTGTTGAGTCGTGTCTCTCTCTCACACACAACTCCAGGCCCAATCCTCAGCCTATTGAGCTGCACTCTTGCTTCAGGCACAATCTTCAGTCCGTTGAGGCTAATCCCTCTCTCTCTCTCTCTCTCTATATATATATATATATATATATATACATCAGGTGAACTCTTCAATCTTCTAGAAAAAGACAAAATATGCAAAAGGTCTACAATCCACGCATAAACTCTAGAACTAGGTTACACTTGTGAGAGGTTGTTAGAGAATGTCTTGTCCCTCATTGGTTGGGCAAGGATTTCCAGAGATTTATAATGTACTAGGCTGCTCCACCCCTCAGATTCTTTCTCATCATGCTTTCCTTGTCTTACATGAGATTCCGGCATTGGCCACAAGTTTGTGTTTTAAGCATTTTGAAATCCACTAGTAGCATTTTGATTGTTCAGTGTATGTTTTTTTTTCAATACTTTGTTTGGATTAAAGACTCTAATTTTCTTCTGTGTTTTGGTTTTTACTCGTTCATTTTTTCTCTCTGTGCAGGTTGATATTTGTTGTTTCGATAAGACTGGAACCTTAACATCCGATGACATGGTATGGCAGTCATATATTCTTCTGTGCTACCTTAGTTGCTGAGCCCTTTGAATTTGATTTCTTTGATTTTCCAATTTTCAGGAGTTCTCAGGGGTTGGTGGATTGACTGACAGTGAGGACTTAGAAAAAGAAATGACTAAAGTTCCAACTCGTACGCAGGAAATTCTTGCTTCTTGCCATTCTTTGGTTTTTGTGGACAATAAGCTGGTAACTAATTTTGCTTCATAGTTTTGTCCCTGAACCTATACTATATTATTTGGTCTACCAAAGTAAGAACGACGTCGATTTTGTTTCTTCACTACTTCTTCCTTTTGGTTGGTGAAGAGGGGTAGGCCACTGGTGTCTAACCTACATGTGTCACATATGTTTGCTTATGTTGTATGTCATTTGCTTTGATATAATAGTCACTGAGATAACACTTTTTGTTTTGACCTCTTTCATGTATTTTATATTAGCCATTTGATGAGGTTTTCTCTATTCAATTATTGATTTTCTTAAAAAGTGGGTATAAAACTTAGAATTTTTCTCAGGGAAATAATATTTTGTAACGACATTGACTGTGGTGTTCAGATATAATAAGGTTTTGTTTACCTATTAAAAAGAAGAAATAATTGAATCCTGTTTTTTCTTTTGTTTTTGATATACAATATTCACTACTGTATATGATTTGCATCCCCCATAGTTTAGTGTAATTTTGTCAGAAGGAAGGAAAAAGTGAAATAAATCTTTCATTTGCTTGGTGCTGGGTTGTTACTGCTTTCTTTTTGCTTCTCCACTACCATATATCTTTTTCAAAACTGCTTTGATTTTGCTTTCGTTGAGCCAAGGGTCTATCGGAAACAACCTCTCTACCTTCACAAGGCTTGGTGCTGGGGTTTTATTTGGTGTTTATATGCCCTCAATATTAGCATTAGAAACATCCTCACTTTGATGACCATTGCTGTTGCGTTGGCCACTTGTTGCTTTTATTGTTGCAGCACCATATAAGCAAACGACCTTATTTGTTGCTGGAACTGTGGGTTTAAGCTTTATCATTGAGACTTTTACGCCTTTCTCTGTTACCAACGTCCTTTTTCCTTGTAGGTGGGTGATCCTCTTGAGAAGGCCGCCCTTAAAGGGATTGATTGGGGATATAAATCAGATGAAAAAGCCATGCCAAAAAAGTAAGCTTTGCCCGGATGTCATTTTCTTACTGCTATTAAAAGAGAGTAGTTCTGGCCTCAAATGTCTACTGTTGATCCTTGTTGCCGCAGTTATTCCTTTCTTTGCTTGTCCATTTTTGCCCATGTATTATATTTTGATTTTCCAAGTTAAGAGTTCTTATGTAAAGGGATAAACAATTACGCAAGTCTATAAGTTAATATTTGACTTATTTTGGTAGAAGAAGGTGAATGAGTTTGAAGAATTTTTCTTATTGTTTTAATTTTCCATGACGAAATATATAGTCGGAGAATCCAACTTCCATTGCCTGGTAGTTTTTAATACACTACCTCTATTAGTTCCACATTATTCTTTTGTTTTCACAATTCTGAGGTAACCGTAACCTTTCCAAAAAGTAAATGGTCTCCGTTTCTGTATTGGAACCAAATCAACTCAAAAGTTTATATTCGTCAAATCATTGACAATGATACTAGCTCCAATGCATTTCACCTTTGTTTGTGATATTGAAGACTTCATTTGTTATGTTAATGTTAGAATCAGTTTAGCTGGATTGATAACTCCTTAGGACCATAAGCTGTTGTGCTCATGCATTTCACCTTTTTTTTTTTTTTTTTTTTTTTTTTTT